TGTGTGTATGATGTACTCATTGTTTCTGTGAGGAGATGAATCATCACATTTTCCTGTGCTCAAGTCAATAGGTCTCATATATGTTTACCTAATTTCACCCCAGGCCTCCCTTTCAAAGTGCAAATTAATGAACTGCTATTAGAAAGTACTTCTAAAACACTGAATTCAAAAGAAAACCACAAGAAAACAATAAAGGAGCAAAGATTCATAAAATTTTTCAGGAAATGAGGCTAACTAATTATCCTCAATGTGATCTTTTTCTTTATTCTCATCACTAATCTGGTTGATATTGTATTGATAATGTAAGGAGAAATTTTATCTTGGTCACTTATGAGAGTTAAAGGGTTAATGAAATAAATGAAGTATCATGAGAACTCTGATTTGCCAAAAACCTATTTTTTACTTCTATAGTTATTTTTTGAAAGAAATAAATTGCACTTTCAACTATTTGTACTATTTCTACAAACTTTTCTTGTGTTCTCTCAAGATCCAGTGTGGGTCATCATGCCAATAAACCGATAGAAAATTTGACCAGTTGTTTAAAAATGCAAATTTAGTTGGCATTACAACAACTGAATTGCATGCAGATTTTTATTGACATAAGTTTGTCACTAAACTCAATTTCTGCAGCTCTCTCTCTCTCTCTCAAGTTGGGTCCAGTCTTCCCAGCAACTGTATATTACCTAATTTGTAACAAAAAATCTAGTACTTACGTTCTTTCCTAATGTTGTTAACTTTCCTGTTTGAGTCTTTCAAGTTCTGCTTCAAGTTCAGCACAAGCTCTTTCTATTTCATAATTCTTTGTTACCAGCCCTACCCAACTGAAAAGGGATAACATATACAAACAATTCTATATACATCATGGAGCTAACAAATCAACCAACTGTAAGAAGAAAAAAATAAGGTATTGATATTGTTGTAAAAATAAAAAAGAATAAAATTGAAGCAAACCTTTGCTCCAAATGTTGAAGTTGTTCTCCTGCTTTGGTCTATCACAAAAA